AACCATGGATTGAACTCACTAGAAGTACACAGCAGGTTGAACCCTTCTCTCCATTGGATCTCAACCTCTCTAACCCTAAGACCATTCAACACAGTTTTGTGTCATCATGACTGCACAACCATAAAATTATTTCATTGCTACTTCATAAGTATAATTTTGATACTGTTATGAATTGCACTATAAATATTTGATAGTTTAGATATCTGATATACAACTCCTGTGAAAGCGTACTTCCACCCCGGCCCTCAGGGATCTGGACCCACAAATGTAAAACCACTGCCTAAACCATGCTTTCTGAATTTGCATAACACTATTAAAAATAGGATGAACTATTTTAGACAGAAGACAAGAAAAGCAATTTACTATAGTAAACAGAGATAACATTTTACATCTTAAGACTTTATAGACCAACATAGATAGCTAATATGAAGTTTAAAAACAGTGTAATCTGCTATCTGAAAGCTAATGTACATTTTGCTGCATGATATAGTTCTTAGGAAATACAAGGTAGAGATAAGTATTTGTTATGAGTACATATTAAAGTCATGTTTTAACTTTATTTGAAAATGCCAGGTCAGAGAGATCAGAGTCAGTTATATAGGAAAATACATCCATGGCAACAACAGCCTCACATTGCAGATATAGTTTACAGTTTTCTATGAACAAACCCACTTACTTCTCTTTAGCCCCATTCCAAAAGCTATCGTCAAATATCCATACTTGAGGAATCCTGAAAATATTAATAACTTTCACATATTAGAGGAAGCACTCTGCTCATCCTAGTAAACAGACTTGGATGGCTTAGATGCAAAAGTATGACAAGATGGAGAATAATGGATTCAACTCACATTATGTTGCAAGTGGCATTGTAAATATTCACAATCCTCATTGCCCTCCTAAAAAAAATGAATGGCAGTACCACCCTCTCAGCTCACAAAGAACTTGAACCAACAACTTCCTAAGGTTCCCCTATAAGCCCTATTTGAAACATTGTATCTTCCTCTGGGATGCTGATTCTGATCTTAATCAAGGATGAATCAAAGACATTAGTGTATATACCATTTTATTTCTACATACATAATCTTAGATCATTTTATAACACAATACTAATTTCATTAGATATACCATACAAATGGATCATATTTTGCCTTGTCTCTGTTATTATATGTATATGTTATATCTAAGAACTGAAGATATTAATATTGTAATTCTAGTATCATTCTTGTCACTGAGAACCATGAATTCAAATTTCAAGTTCTGGCTTTGAAACCCAATCATCAATATGAATATATAACATATTTTCTCTTCATTTTTATAGATAATTTCTAATGTAACACATTGTAAGACTTTAAAATTTCCAAAGTAAAATGTCAGATGTCAATTAAAAATTAAATATTAAAAAGAAAAGAAGCCTATATTTGAATCTGGATAGTCTCCCTCTCAGAGTTTCTTACCTACAAAGCTTTCTGGTTGCTTTGGTGAGAAAAAATATCTGAAGTTCCAAGGACTGGGGAGATAGATAGCTCAGTGCTTTCCATTCAAGAATGGGAACCTAAGTTCAAGCCCCAAACCCACATTTTAAAAATCATCCATGGCATCACATGCTTGTAATTCCAGCACTGCAAAGGTAGAGAGAGGGAATTCCTGGGGCTTACTGGCAATCAGCTTAGTCAATCAGGCAATGATAAATTTGGTCTCAAAAAGCATGATAACAGTACCCAAGGAACAATACCAAAGGTTGACCTTTGGCTTCTACACACATGTGCACATCTACACTAGTACAGACATGAACACACACATAAACAAAACCCTGAGGTTCTGCCATGTTTAGCATGGCATCCTTGACACTGGAACTGATTCAATCACAGTACTGCCCATTCCACTCTCACTACCTTGAAAACCAGTGTCAATTTTCCCTTGAGAATCAGCTCTATCCCATGTGAAAGGCTTATGTATTCATAACTTTTCTCCTTGTTGTAAGAAAATACATAACAGAAGAGCAAGGTACAGAAGGGAAGATTTATTTAAGCTCTTGACTTTGGAAGTTTTAGTTCATCATGGAGGGGAGGCCATGTGGGGCCATGTGTCACATCATGACAGCCAGAAAACAACAACAACAACAAAACAGATGGGAATCTGGGACCAGGAATAACCTTCATAACCCACCCTCACTGTGAACTATTTCCTCCAGCTAGACCCTAGCTCCTACAGTTTCCACAATCTCACCAAATGAAGCCACCAGCTAAGAACCAGAAATTCAACAATTGAGCCTGTGGCAAACATCTCAGTATTCAATTTATAATATAATCCATGTTTCTCCTTATATAGATATTACATAGTTACACTCCTCTTCTGATGACTGTTCCATGAGAATGATGGCTTTTCTAGAGGAAGTGATTGCTTTGAGATGACACCTAGGAAGGAAGGGATGTCACTCAGACTTCCTGTCACACTCTTAACCCACATTCCATAGGCCAATGTGGATTTTTAAGTCTGTTAAAATTCAGAAAGTCAGTCAATGACTGCAGCATAAGTTCACAATTCTGACTTGTAACACACAGGCTTAAGCATCCACAAAGAACCAATACTGAGTAATCCCTGAGGTATAAGTATATCCTTTTATGTCATCTATCCATAGTCACCCTAGTAAATGCAGAAATATTCAGAATCTTATCACAAGGCTTTCAGATATGGAAGCAGAATATCAGCAAGGCCATATCCCTTCTTGGAGACTCTGAAATAAAGTCTCTTTGCTTATAATTCCCAGCTTCTAAATGCTACCTGGATCAATGAGTCCACCTCCAAGCCAGTAGCATAGCATGTCTCTATTTGTTTTGAAGTTTAAGAAACACAGGATGAGGTCAAGGCATCAGAAGCTAGAAGGACAAAGGATATTCCCATGAACCTGACCCAGGTATCTGAGGTTAAGAGCTGTTGGGCTGCCTGAGCAACTGAGCAGGAGCCAGTGGAGTAGTGAGTGAAGATAGAGGATGAGTCACTGCAGGGAGGGGACGCAGGAGCAGGAAGGAGAAGGCATTAAGATTTACCCATTCCTCACCTCTTTACAGCACCTGCTAGGGGTCAATCCTAGGAGGGAGAAGTTGGCAGTGCATAAGTATGGTCTGCAGAGACCCAGCTACATGTACTAGAGCCAAAAAGAGTACATTTGGATCCCAGGAACAAGAACTTAGTTTCTGGCTAGCTTATTATATTCTGGGCCAGCTGCCAAGAACTGTTGAGTTAAGAAAAATCTCTCTCTCTCTCTCTCTCTCTCTCTCTCTCTCTCTCTCTCTCTCTCTCTCTCTCTCTGTGTGTGTGTGTGTGTGTGTGTGTGTGTGTGTGTGTTCATATGTGTGTAGGTGGACACATGGTGGTCCATGTATGCTGGCCAGAGGACAACCTCAGATGTCATTCATCAGGAGCCATTCACTTTGAGACGGAGTCTCTCATTGACCTAGAGCTCAACAAGTTTGCTAGGCTGACTGGACAGCAAGCTCCAAGGACCAGCCTGTCTCTCTTTTCCTGGTGCTGAGATTGCAAGTGCACGCTGTCACATCCAGATTTTTACATGAGTACAAAAGATGGAACTCTAGTCCTCAGGTGACTTAGTTAGGGTTTCAGGGTTTCTATGCTGTGAAGAAACACTATGACCATGCCAACTCTTATAGGGAAACCATTTAATTGGGTGGCTTACAGTTTCAGAGGTTGAGGTCATTATCATGGTGGGGCATGGCAGCATGCAGACAGACATGATTCTGGAGAAGGAGCTGTGAGCAAAGAAGGAGCTGTGTCTTGATACTTCAGACAACAGGAAGTGGTCGGAACACTGGGTTTTACTTGAGCATATATGAGACCTCAAAGTCTGCTCCTACAGTAACACACTTCCTCCAACAAGGCAACATCTACTTCAACAAGGCCACACCTCCTAATAGTGCCACTCCCTATGGACTGATGGGAGTCAATTGCATTCAAACTACCACAACAAGCTTGCACAGAAAACATTTTGTCAACTGAGCTCTCTTCCCAGCTCCCACTTAAGGAAACATTTATAACATATCAATGCCTTTGATGGAAACAGGGACTCAGAAATGTTGAAGAAACTTCCAAATGTCACCCTACTGAGTTCCACTGTTATATTTTTCCTCTGCTATATGACTTGGATGCCCCATTCTTAATGCACAGTCCACCCTATTGGAGAGCACCAGAAAGAAAAGGTATAACAGTGCAAAAGAGGAGAAGGGTCCCCCTAGTAATGACAAATGATGACAAAGCCTTAAGGTTCTGATCAATCCCTAGATCTACAGAACCAGAGAGAAGGAAGGAAACATACTCTGTCAGTTCTTCTCATCCATATCTGCCAGTGCCCATATCTTCACTGTAGCTAACCTGTTGGTACCCAGCTCCCATAGGCACGGCTGCATTGGCTCTGACTATCACCAGCCACTCCAATCCCTTCAGTGAAACCAAGGTCTTCTTTGCTTGTCTTCTTTGAAAAAAATTCCAGTAGACACCTTTCTATGGCTACGATAAAAGCAGTCTGACAAAAAGCAATTAATGAAAGGAAGGGGTTTATTTCATTGGAAAAGTTAATCCATCATTGTAGGATACCAAGGCAGAAACTCAAGGCAGGAAGCTGAAACAAAAGCTATGGAGGGATGCTGCTTACTGGCCCACTTGTTGGCTCATGCTCAGCTTGTTTTTATTATACATTCAGAGTCTACATCTCTAGAGATGGTGCTTCCCATAGTGGGCTGGGTGTTATCACATAATTCATCAATCAAGATAACACCTCACAGACATGGCCACAGGCTAATTGTTTTATGGGGATATATTATTTATGATTTCTTAAAGCTTACCTGAGAATTCAGAAAGCAAAGTCAGCCTCAAGCTGTAGAGATCAGGCAGTGGTGTTACATGCCTTTAATTCCAGAACTCAGAAGACAAAAGCATATGGATCTCTCTGAGTTGAAGATCACACAAGGCTACAGGAGATTGAATCAGTCTAAAAGAGTAACAGAGCTCATGCCTTTAATTCCAGCACTAGAAAGATATAAAAGATATGAGCAGGGTTTTCAGTAGTCATTCTCAGGATTCTCCAGCCATGTTGAAGAGAGAATAGCAGTCTGTGATTACAGTCTGGGGTTTGGTGGAGCCAGGATTGCCTTTCAGTCTGAGGTAGAGGTAAGAGCTAATGACTTGACTGCTTTGCTTTTCTGATCTTCAGCTTGAAGCTTAAACCCCAATATCTGTCTCAGCCACAGGATAATTTAATCAAGGAAATTCCTTAGTCATGGCTCCTTTTTCCTTGGAGAATCCAGGTTGTGTCAAATTGAAAATAGAAACTTTCCAGAACAAAAAACAACCAAAAAATTGTAAGTCATGTCATTAAAAGATGTTTCATGTTCTCTGTAGAAAGTTGAGAAGGGTTTTCTTTTTTAAGACAGGGTCACATGAAACCCAGGCTTACATCACAATCACTTCATAGCTTAGTGTGACCTTGAACTTCTGATCTTCCTGTCTCTACCTCCCTCATACTGTGATTACATGTATGTACCACCATGCCAGGCTTATCCATGTTTATCAAATCTAAGGCTACATCCCAAGCTCAATGAAGTGTTTCTGATATTCTGTACCATCCTCAGAGAGGTAACTGAGTCTTCCCATGAGAAGATTTAAGTGGGCACCTGAGTGTCTCAGGACACCATACAGGAAGAGAATATACTCAATCATAAACAGAAGTATATCTGCTTCTGATGAGTTTATTGTAAAACTGTGCCAGTGTGCACATGCATACAAAAGTCCAGCAATGCTGTATAGTATAGAGACAGAGCACCTGCAAAACACACATACTAAGTACCAGATGCTAAGAGCATTCACAGCAATCTGTTATCCTTACAAGCAGCAACAGGACTCCCAATGGGCCTAGAACAACAAAATTAATGGATTGGAAAGCAAGAATCTAATGTACAAGCTCTCAAAATTCTGCAGGCTGGCAGACTCACAGAGCTCATTGGGTACATCAGTGATGGGGTATGAGGGGTACAAAGCAGCCAGCAAGACTCTAATAGGAGCAAGGTGAGAATAAAAGAGCAGCAATGAAAAAACAGACAACTGGTCAACCCACACCAGCTCCTCCAGGAAGGCAAAACTCCATTTCCAACAAGAAGCTTCTTTGAACTTCGGTAAAATAAATAGTATTTATAAAAAACAGCCTCTGCAGAAAACAAATGCCATAATGAGAAAGTAAAACAACAGAATTCTATGCAGTTCACCCACTTGACAGTTAAATCATTTTATATTGAATTCAGGTTTCATGGCCCATTAGAGGTCTGGAGGGAGAATTCTCAGGGATACTTCTGGACTAATGAGTGTTTTGCAAATTGTTTTTGTAGCACATTCACTCATTTTTTTCTTCTGGGAATAATAAGAATCTTTGGTTTATGGAATTTGGCCCTACATTTGAGAAACAACAGCAGCTATTTTAATTGAACCTAATTTATTTTTATTAGTAGAGGATGTTGGTGTTTTGTATCTTTGAAATACATTTTTGACACTGATAAGCAAATGATGCTATCAGTCAAACTATCATAGCCTCCTACACATGTCTCTACACATCTTTCAAATACCCTCTGACAAATGTTCCCTTACCTCCCCCATAAAGATGTGGGTTTCCTTTTGTGAATCTAACATTCAGAGTAAAACAGAACTTGCAGAGAAGTCTGTGTCATCTACTAACTCCCTTCTCCTCTGGGAAGAAGAGACCAGCATCCTAGCAGAAGCTTTTCTTATTTACCGTGGGGGCACAGATGACCAACACGCTAGAACTTTCTCAGTTGCAGATGGCAAATTCTTCTTGTAAATCTCTCCTACAGCCATCAGAAAGGCATGTGAAGCAGTTACTCAAAAGTCCTCTTAAAAGTCAAGTTAAGATGTTGATAGGAGAAACTATCTTACTCGTCTCTGGTAAAGGGTTTGCCTTAGCTAGAGAGAGACACACTTCACTTATAAACATCTGGATATAGTTGCTATATTAGTTAGTTTTCTCATTCTGGTAAAAATAACAAGAAAAAATGTTTTACATGGGTCACAATTTAGAGTTCAGACCATTGTTGCAGAGAAGTCACAATGGAAGGAGCTTCAGTCAGATGGTCATGTTGAATCTAGTCAGGAAACTAAAACTAATGAATTCTGTTGCTCGGGTTAGTTTCTCCTTTTTATTCAGTCTGAGACCCTGCACACCGAATAGTGCCATTTATATTTAGGGTATGTCTTCCATGCTCAGCTAAACCATTCTGAAAAATCAGACATACCAAGATTATGTGTTTCCAAACTGATCCTAAATCACCTCACGTTGAATCACCTCACAGTAAAGATCTGCCATCACAGGAGCCAATAAAATGTCTGACTTGAGCCCAATGTGCTTAATGTTGGAAATCAACACATGAGACCTATTGATTGAGTTCTCTTCTTGTACTGAATGCTGTTCTAAGTTCTGGGGCTACGGCAGAAACAAAGTAGACACTCTAGGTACTAATCAGGCTACCTTCTCATGTGTGGGGCAAGCTAATGAATGCACATACCATGGCAAGCGATAGGTGTCCTGGGAAAAAATTAAATATCATAGAGAAGAATGGGGAGGGCAAAAGGAAGCTGCAGCTCTTTCCTAATTCATAATCCCTAGGAGGTACTAAATAAATATACTAATATCCTGGGGGAAAATGCAATATGAAGAGAAAGGGGACAAGAAAGAAAGGGGGACGAGAAGGAAAAGGTGGGAAAGGGGAAGAAGGAAAAAGAAATGGAAAAGAAAGGGAAGGTGCTGTAGATCAATTTCCTCCCAACTAAAACATTCCAAGAAAGAAGCTCATAACAATACCTCATAAAGCTCAAGATGTTCCTGAAACTTACAAGGTTGACAAGGCTTCCCCCAGTATTAATATAAAAAGTGGGGATTGCTCAAGAGTAGAAGTACTTACCTACTGGGTTTCCCTTAAGTCTTGAAAAGAAGTCTAGAGATGCAGTGTTTGTAAACTGTCACTCAAACTGGCGTGGCCTTTTTGGTGTTGTAGTCCTATAAATAACACCAATAAGCTCATCAGTTTGTCAGGTTGGACTTCAGTGGAATTCATCCTTTGGTATGTGGTCAGCTTCCTATCTCGTGAGAGGGAGAAGGAAAAGGGAGAAGAAGAGAGATGGGGGATGAGGGGGAGAGAGTGCAAAGACCTTGAAAAACATGCTAAATAACTACAAGTTGGTCTTCAAATCACTAGACAGCCAATGGATTGGTTTAGAGTAGGATAAGGAAGGTCCCCCATGGAAACTGATTGAAATAAGTTTTGCAGAAGAGCACGAGTAGAAGGGAACAAACAACAGAACAAATGCTATGGTCATCCCTGCTAAAGAAAGGTCCTAGGACACAGCAGAGTGCTTGTCATAGGAGTCACAAGATCCAATTCAGATACCTGGGAAGGCTTCCAGAAATGAATGAAGGTTGACTCAATGCAAAGTGGAGAGATAAGATGGTAAGGAAGTAACTCATATCTTCCACTAAGTAACATAATTGATGGAAGATATTCCCTGGAAAAAAATTATAGCATGAATGAGATTTGCAGGAGACCACCATAGATTTGTCAAGTTCTCCTCAACTCTGGCTCTTATAGTCTTTCCATTCCTTCTTCTGTGATGGCTCCTGAACTTTGTAGGAGGGTGACATTCTTTAAGTTTTTTAAATGAAGGCTCAACCTCCCTCCCTCCCTCCCCCCTCTCTCTCCTCTCTCCTCTCTGTCTCTGTCTCTCTCTCATCTCCAAAGCCTCTTCATGATACCTCTGCACCAAATAATGACCCCTCTCCATGGTTATGAGGCTCTCTCTCCAAATGGGGCTCACTCTGAAGGGTAAGTTTTGCATCAACTCCTTTCTCCCAACCTGCCACATCTAACGTGTATTTTGTTATAACAGCATTCACAGTCCCACCTCCATCTGACTAAAGCCCACCAGAGCCTATCTCATGACATCTTCTCATATAACCTGGGTCCCTCATCCCATTCATCTCATGGTGTCCCCAAAACTAAGCCATATGCCAAAACCCACACCACATTCTCTCCAGCCCCTGACCAGTACTTAAGGAAAGACCCTAACTTTTTTTAATTGTATGTGTTAATGTATGCATATGCACCACCTGTGTGCTGGAGCTTATAGAGATTAAAGGAGGAGTTGGATCCCTGGAATTGGAGTGACAGATGATTGTGAGCTACCTTGTACGTGCTGGAAACCAAGCTTGGGCCCTCTGTGAGAGCAGTAAGCACTCTTAAGCCCTGAGCCATCTCTACAGCCCTCAAGTTTTTAACAAAAAAATGTTTTGGTTTTGTGTGTGGCCCAACAACTCTTAAGTGCCAGTGAAACTTTCAACATGATTCCCATTGACCTTGATGTTCTGCAAACAGGAATGATCTTGCTTGGAAACTGTTTTATTTGCTGCTTCTCCAGGCTCAACTGCACCATAACCCTCCCTGTCTCCCAGTATCCTTTCATAAAATCCCTTCTATGACTGCAATTCACAGTAATGTCCCATGTCTTGCTTTGTTTAATTACTGTACAGAAGACAGATAGTATGAGTCTCCTTATCCAGGTCTTCACTCCCTCTGCTTCCTCATGCCTGCCCTGTGTCCCATGCTGTGGCCACACCAGTGTCTCAGAGAGGTCTCTCAAATCATGATACTAAGAGTAGTCTTGGTTCTTGTACTCCTGAAAGGAGAAAACCCGACGGGATGCATTAGCAAATGAAGCAGTAAACAGTTTGATGAGAACAAGAAAGGAAGAAGAAAGCGTACCTTAGAAGAGTCAGGTGGGGATGCATTGGCTTTGACCCTGGCATGCAAAGGGCTTATGGTTTTCCTCCTCTGTATCCCCCTCCTTTAAGTGTCCTTCAGGAGGAGCACTTCTAGGATAACAGTGCGTAAGCTCTCAAGGAAGCCCTGTTTACCCAGAATTCCATCTAAATAGATATATAAGATGACAGAAATAGATGTATAAGATGGCTAATTAAACAAGCAATAATGAAAATCAGAAAAAGAATGGTTATTCGATGTGGCTGCATTGGAACGAGGAACAAAGGAGATTCCCATAGAGAAGCAAAGGGATTCCAGCATCTGAAGTCCATCTGAGGTCTCACTCAGGACAATTCTCACTTAGTACCTGTGGCTCCTCCCAGCCCTTCCCACGCTGCCCTAAACCTCCCAGCCCAGGCCCTGGGCTTCTGCTTCCTTCCCCCAGCTTCTGATCCTCATATAATAACTCGGCCATTTTGGCAAGACACCTTCTTGGTCTCATGACTTGCTCCTGGCCACTTGGTCTGCAGCTTTTCTCTTAGCCCACTTACTCCCTTTCTCTTCCCTTCCTCTCTTCTTCTCCCTCCCTCCTCTCTCCTCTCATGGCCTGGTTCAGTCTGGACCATCCCAGATGCCTTTGGATGACCTCTCCCTCACATCTACAATAAAACTTCTCCCCAGCCATCCCTAGGAGCAGCCATGAAAGTTTAAATAGAGGCAAGAAAGGTTCCACTCACCACCCGCTGTCCAGGCTTCTGAGAGCTGTCAGAGCTGTGTGAAACATCTTCCTGGAAGACACATCGCCCCTCTGGTTAGCACCAAGCTTCCAGATACTTCCTTCTCAGATTCCTGGGGAAATTACAATTTCTTGGGGACCATTGTTTCAGTCTGATATCCAAAAAGGAGAAACAGAGTGACTCTTTAGAGTATCTTCATTCCCAACAATACAATATCCTGAAGGTGAGTGTGGGAGGAAAAGTGAGGGGCCAGGGATCCTCTGCTCTCAGACTCCAGGGCCTCGGGGACACCCAAGCCCTTGCCTCCCTTGCCCTTGAGCTCCGTTCCCTTTTCAGGTTAAAGTTTGTTCCTGCTATTAAAAATGATTAACGGAATGGGTGTTAGCAGTGCAAAACAGAAGGGGGCACGAATACGAACAGCCAAAAATGGTATTTGCAAATTGTCTCCATTAAAGTTGAGAGTGAATTCCCAGGACACTGTGCCTTTAGTGTCTCTGTGTTGTTGTGGAAATTAGATTAGCATTACCTGTGGAAGAAACTTCTCATGCCACCCCACAGCCACAGCTAGGCTCACCCTAGCAGGCTCACCCTAGCTACAAATCTAGGCTTGCCCTAGGAGGATGCAAGCACCTAAGGAGTTTAACTATAGGCACCTTCAAAGCAGGGGCTGCCACCTCCTAGAGACTTCAGCAAATCTACATGGGCAGAGCAGGCTAACGAGGACCCTGCCACCTGCCTCTCTGGAGCCTGTCCCCCAGGGGGTTGTTTAGCTTCTAGCAAAGGAGAAAGAAGAGCTCGGGCTAGCAGCAGCCTCTCTTGGATCAACTCTGCTTTTAAAGGGATTAGGAAATGAGGGTGATTGGCTTTTAATTGGCCTTTGTGCAGAATCAATGGTGAGCTGTTGGTGAGCATGCTAGAAGAAAACCGTACTTATTTTCACTGAGAGGTGAAAGGGTCCTTTTCATCCGTTCACAGGAGAATGAAAAGAAATCAGAAATATTTCAAATGGAGCAGTAGGGATAAAAGAATGTAAATGTTTTGTCTGGTTTGAATGCAGTCCTTCATTATAACCTCTTTTAATTATGAATTATTATTACAGTTATTACTGGAAATAGTTGTCAACGCTAAATTACTGTGTTCCAGTTGCTCTGCTAAGAAGAAATGATTTGAGTCAGCAAGCTCAAGCTAATTTTGCCTTTGAATGTCTTTGGTTAGGCCTGCACACCAGAGAGGTCCCACACTAGGATGAAGAGTTTAGGGTCTCCCTCGATGGAGAGCAATGTATCCTTTCCATCACCCAGCAGCACAGAAAGAGTGAAGATGGTCTCACTGACAGTGAGCAGGACGCCTCACTGTTAACACCAAGCGGATTGGTCAGGACTACAGCTCAGCTGCTAGTGTGTTTGCCTAGTGTGCATGAAGCCCTGGGTTCTGTCCTCAGCAGCACAGAATGCTGCATCCTTGTAAGGCCAGCATGAGGGAGGTAGAGGCAGGAACATCAGAAGTTCAAGGTCACCTTCATCTACATAGTGAGTTTGAGACTAGCTAGGAATGCATGAAACTGTCCCAAAAAAGTGTGATGGAGTGGGGGTGCTTTCTTCTCTGGAGGAGGAAAGAATGTCTTTGCATTCTAAGGCAGAATTTCAGGAGGAGGAAGGACTTTTGCAATCATACCTGCCCATCCAGGCTCTCCCTCTTCCTCTTGCTCTCTTCATGTTCTGTCCAGAAGACTCACAGAAAAAATCTGACTGAACTTCCTGAGTTATCTGCCCCTCAGCAGTGAAATGTTCTCTGGCTAAAAAGAGAGGATTTGGGGGTGGTGGAGTACAGAAAGCACATTTACCATCAGGCAAATCCAGGCTAAGCTTTGCCTTGTTGCGGGATGCCCAAGTTGTCCAGGTGACCTTAAGTTATGAATGCGTACTTGGAAGATTTTTTTTGGAGACCTTCAAATGCTTGCATATCAGACCTGTTGATGGACGAAACAAGACAGACACAGAGAAAAAAATAGCCATTGTACCACACAGCACACTGCCAGTGTGGCAGGAGTAAAGGGTTTGAGTTTCAATTTTCACATATTATATACTGCATATTAAACATATCCCCATTCAAATAGAAGATATTCTGAAGAGAAAGACTTGTACCCTCTCCTCGACTATCAGACTACTGAGATAATGGTTCCCCCAAGGATGGAATGTCCCCAGGAATCTCATACTGGGAAAAGGAAAAGGATAATGTCCATCTCCAGCCAGAGGGCAGATTACTGCCCAGGAAGATTTTTCACTCAGTTTTGACGACTGTCTAGCCCTCTTGCAAGGACAGACTGGAGCACAGACAGTGATGGGTAAATGACCAGTGGCACCACATTCACTGACTACGACTGCTTACGAAGGCATACCTCTTACCTTCTATTTAAACCTAATAAACCTTGTCAGGACCCTGGGGATGGATATGGGGATTACTAGCCCTTCTCATTTGTTTCTCTTTTCAGTGTGGCCACATTGACTAAATCTCCTTTCTCTCCTTTTCAACATTGCTTGTTTACTTAAATGTCCTATTGAGGATGGGTGGCTGAACCTCGCTTGTTAGAGCTGTCAAGGACCAAGCTCCCATCCTTAACTCTGGTAACATCAGAACCAGAGTGCTGGTGAGTCCCGGGAAACAACAGGCTTCAGAGCAATAGCATCAAAAAAGGAAGTTGCTATCTCTTTGTCTCTTACACATTGAAACTGCGTCTTAGATGCAGTTGCTTAAATAAGATAATACTAAATTTATTTGCACTGATCTATTTTCCTTTTTATAATAGGACTGCAAGAAAACACAAGAGTGTGGTGGCACTATAGTCACCCTGGACAGCCTACAACTAGCCATCAGCACATTTCCCGGGTTTTCTCAGAAAATGTCTTTCTACACTTAGACAATGCAAATGAGCAGAGTTGATTAGAAGAAGTCTTAACTGGCTTTAATGTACAGTACTGTCTCTATAGTACACAGAGAAGCACATGCACAGCACTACTATTCCAGTGTGCTGTTAAAATGTTCTGCTCATTGCTAACTATTGTTAAGCTCTTACTGTACCTAATTTATAAACTAAACTATATGGCTAAGTTTATCCAACTTTGGAATTGCCTTGCATGAATGAGGCCTGGGGTAGTCTGGATGTAATTGGCACCCCATAATCTCGCAGGGAGCAGAACAATTAGGAGGTGTGGCTTTGTTGGAGGAGGTGTGTCCTTGTTCAAGGAAGTACCACTGTGGAGGTGAGGTTTCCTATGCTCAGGATAAATGGTCCAGTGTCTCAGTCAACTTCCTTTGCCTGCAAGATGTAGGACTCTCAGCTACTTCTCCAGTAATAGGTCTTCCTGCATGCTACCATACTCCCCACCATGGTGATAATGGAATGAACCTCTGAAACTGTAAGTTGCCATGGTTGTGGTGTCTTTTCACAGCAATAAAAACCCTAACTGAGGCAAGGCCTAAGGCCTAGTCACAGTACTGTTGCAGGTGTGGATCAGAATCTGGAGGGCACCTGCTGAGCATTTCTGGTTGTAGTATCCTGGAACAAAGAATTGGACCAAGGGCTTGTGGATAGTGATAGAAATAGAGGCAGTTTATAACAAAGGATCTCGAGAAGTGCACTCCGGAGAATGGAAGTGGGCCAGAGAGCTAGGAAAGGTTGAAAGCTCAATGGTGCTCAGCCAAGAGAGTAATGATCCTTTATGCGTCATTTCCCTACTGTCCACCTTTGCTCGCTTTGGACACTGTGGGCTTTTCCTATGAATCCTCTGGCCTTGGCAGCTCCTGATCAGTGGTTTCCAGTCTTCCTTCCGTATGTTAATTGGATACCACCCCACAGTCATCCACTCCTGCCACAGTACTACACCAAAAAATGTTACTTATCCTTACACATGTACGCAAAAGATCAGTACTGTCCATGGTTAGGCCAGAGGCACTTTTCTCAGAAAGAATCCATGCTGGCATCCCAGAAGCAGGTTTTGGGGTTTTTCAGAATGGGTGGTAGTAAGTAGTAGGGAAGGAATGCAGTACACCTGTGCTGGAGAATCTTTGTCTGGGACATTGGGTCAAGAAAAAAGAACCTGACAGCAGAGGGGATCTGCTATTGTAATGAAACATGGCTCTCAGCCCTCATACCCTGGGTCCTTTGTAGAAACTAAGACTTCCAGAAGTAGGTATCTGTTCTCTTACCTAGTCAATCCCATCATTCTGCTAATAACATAATGTAGCCACCTTTGTTACAAGTGGTTCCACTATTTATAATTTGACATTATAAATATGCATTTATATATTAATTTATATAAAAATATTTGTGTGTAAATTGAAATAATATATAAATATATAACCCTATAATTTAACAAATTGATTCTCACATATAGTACCACCTCTTCTGTGTGTCTGTGTGTGTGTGTGTGTGTGTGTGTGTGTGTGTGTGTGTGTGTATAGAGAAAGAGAGAGGGAGGGGGAAGGAGGGGGAGGGAAGGAGTGAGGGAGGTAGAGTGCGCTGAGCACTGATTTAGGCCTCAGGTGTTCAATCTAATGTGTTATTGCACATACCAAAATGTCCAAAGAGACAAAACCCCAACTATGGGTTCCAGAGGCCTGCTCTGATTCTCTGAGTTGCTTCTAGGCCTACTGTACTGATGGAGCTGGTCTAGAGCACATAGACAGTGGTAGATGTTACTCCTGTCATTCAGCCTCAAGTGAGGTGACTCATCAAGTAAGGGTACTTGTTTCCAAGCCTGATGGCCTGAGTTTGATGCCTGGGACCCACAAGGTGGAGGAAGAGAATTGACTCTTGTAGGTTATACTCTGTCATTCACATGCTTGCCATGCCATGCACACACACACACACACACACACACACACACACACACACACACACAGAGGGGACAAAGATAAATGGAAGAAGAAGGCAGAGTAGAAATTTGTTATATTCTCTTTTCTAGATGATAAACAGGTTTGACAATTTCTTTATAGGCATATATGACAGTGCCTAGCTTCCAACACAGCTGTCTAAGCCTAAATCCAGATCTTGGTGCTCTGCCTGGATCCTCCAGGGCATTAGGAAGGCAAAAGCAGATGAAGGAGCACTGTTTTAGCAACCACTGTCTCCTCTGTGCCTAATACAGGGTCTGTTACATAAACACATTAAAGCCTATAGAATGAATCAATATCAGAAAACCAGCAAGCCTAAAGGGCAATGGATATTTGTTGCTAAGTGGACAAAAAAGTGCAAATTTGGATTTGCATAGCTAATGAAAACCAAGAATTGATTTCCATAGACTGAGGAAAGTCATTATAATTTTGGAACTAATGAACCCTCTTTCAGCAGCTGCACCCCAAATCTGCCACCAAGAGTCTTGGAAGAAGAGCTAGCATGGAGAGCAATCTTCCCCACAGCTTCCTTCCTTGTTAAAATTCCCCACGGATGCTTGTTCTCAAGCAAGATGTGAAATTGCTGATTTCTGCTCTATCTCCCCCGCTTTGCACAGAGCTGCCCTTTGAGATCCACAAATGTGCAATTGTCATGCTACCATTAAGTCTTCCAAAATATCGATTTCAAATGTGAATTCCTGTCCTCACCAATTACTCAAAAGAAGTGCGTCATGGGAAAATTGTGTTTCCCCATCCTGTGGCGGTGTCTCAATGCAAACTTTAGAGGTGGGGAAACTGGCCAGCTGTATTCAAAGCATAAGGAATACTGCCAATTTATCTCATAGAAAGGACTATCCTTGTTTGTGTTCAATAGGCTCCACATCTGTAATCTGCTCTCCCCCGCACCCCACCCAAATAACTCACACTGCCCCTTGCCACCCTCCTACACTCTCTGGGCAAGTTCATCCCAGACATTTGTATGAACTCTTGGGAAAGAAGTGACCTCTTTTCTTCCTTGTTTTAAAGGCAGAATTTCATGTAACCCAGGCTGGCTTCAAACTCTATGTAACTTGGGACAACTTTCAACTCCTTATCCTCCTGTCTCCACCTTTGGAGAGCTGAGATGATAGTCACAAGCCGCCATGCCCTGTCCACATAGTGATGTGATGGGACCCAGCCCTAGCAAGCTAAGCAAGTACCCCAGCCAACCGTACAACATCGGTGAACCCAGAGAGCAGCTTTGTAGGCACCAGAGGCAGTGTCTGCATGAGCAAAGACCGGTGGAGAAAACCAGCAACAGATGGGGAGAGAGAGCAAGCCCTGAGGACAGCCCCAGGGAAACAGCTCCCTCCCCCTCTCCTACCCCCTCTTCTCCTCCCCCAACATCCCCCTCATCCCAGTCACTTCTTAAACTTCTGGATTTCTTCAGCCCCTTAAGAATAGCCAGAGCCAGGCAGTGGTGGTCCATGCCTTTAATCCCAGCACTCAGGAGGCAGAGACAGGAGGATCTCTAAGTTGAATGCCAGCCTGGTCTGCAGAGTGAGCTCCAGGACAGCCACACAGGTTGCACAGAGAAACCCTGTCTTAAAAAAACAAACAAAAACAAGAATAGCCAGAGCAATCAAAATGGTTTGGTTTTTTAATCTGTTTAAGCTGGTATAGCTGGATCCCAGTGACCACAGTCTTCCTCCTTTGCATTTCCATAAGCTACATCTACACTTAACTCTGAATCTATGGCACTGGGGTGTTATAATTCGTCAAGCATGGTTCTAGGACACACCCTAAATTGTCTGTTGTCTTCCAAATCCCCAGTGCATTCTCATCTCCACTCAGAACTGAGAAGCTCTGTTGCTTGGGACATGGAAATAGTAGATATTTTCAGGATTCCTCTCACACTCAAACTTAGAACCTTTGCCAGAAGAGCTTTGTGTCACTGGTGATGAAGGAAGGCTGTAAGGAAGTCCCCACAGCAGGGCTGGTTAAAGTGGCTTCTTTACAGACATTGGAAAACATTCAGGGAACATGGTGATGATTCAATAAAGTACTTACCTTGAGAACTTAAGGACCAGAGTTCAAGCCCCAGAATCAATGTTTTGTTTTTGTTTGTTTGTTTGTTTGTTTTTAAAGCAGGCAACACAGGAGAATTCCAGGAGCTCACTAGCCAGTCTAGGACAGCCTGAAAAAACAAAAACAGTGTAAGGAGTCTTTCTCTGTCCCACCAGCCAATTCCCAAATAATGACACACAGACTTCTTATTAATTATGAAAGTTCAATTTACAGCTTAGGCTTGTTCCTAACTAGCTCTTATAACTTAAATTAACCTATATTTTTATTAATCTACCATGTGGCTTTCATCTCTGTCTCATTCTGTGTATCCCACTCATTCCATATCTGGCTGGTGATTCTGACCTCAAGACATACCTTAAATAGCCAAGCCAGCTGCCACACAACTCTAGCTGTGGGCCCTGAATCTCCACCTCCAAGAGATCCTTTTGTTATTTTATTTTTTGTGTTTTTGAAACAGGGTTTCTCTGTAGCTTTGGATTCTGTCCTGCAACTCCCTCTGTAGACCATGCTGGCCTAGAACTCACACAGATATGCCTGTCTCTGCCTCTGAGTGCTAAGACTAAAGGCGTGCGCCACCACCCAGCCCAATTACATATGGCGCCCAGTGTGGGGCATATATATCTAGACACAGGGCCTGAGAAAGCAATCCCTTAGGTAGGTTCAGCAAACAGAGGGAGGGTTCTTTTAAGAGTCCCTGCTGTGCAGCAGAGTGTTATGAGAAGCTATTTCCTTGAGTGAAGCCTTCCCGCCAGCCTGGTTCCAGAGCTGCTTCAATCCCAAATAAACACACAAGAGGTTATATTCATTATGAAGCTGTTGGCCTTGTTTGTCTCTTACTGGCTAGCTCTGCCTTAAGTAATTACCCCATAATTGTTAATCTAAGTATGTTTCTTACCGGAGAATAGTTCCCGGCGTCCTACCCCCATGGCGTCACATGTTGACTCTCTTGTGTTTCCCCTTCCCAGAATCCTCCTCGACTCCTAGTCCCTCCTATCTAGGTTTTCTATTGGCCAGACAGTACTTTATTGACAAATGCACAGGCAAATAACAGGACTTCCCCAACATCTCCTCTTTTCTGTTTAAACAAAAGAAAGGTCTTAATTTTAACATAGTCAAATTGTATATGACAGAACAGTTATCAAGTAAGAACATAGTTACAATATTTTAGCAAGATTTAAAGAAAATATCATCCATCCCATCCTTGTGAGTCAAAAGTTCTATATGTATCTTTTATCATAACTAAGGAAAACTATAATTATAACTATCTGTCTTCAACTCCATCAAAGACCACAGAAGGATAATATATAAACACTAGGATTAACAGAGATATCTTACTGCCTGGACAGTCACCCGAAGTTCCTCTGTAACGTTGGGGCATCCATCTTCAGCCCATAGGCCACAATGTGTCCAGAAGATTTCTCAGCAAAGCAGGAAATTTCAAACTGTCCATCTGCATTGGCAGTCTGTAAGTCATTTTTCTTTGTCCTGCAGAAAGTCTCGTAGACTCTTCATGAAGCGGGAACCCTGTAAGACTGAGTTCAGTAGTCACTTTCCTGTGGGTCCTGCTTGTCCAGTTTATACAACAACAGTCAAGAAGTACAGGCAAGAGCAGTTCTTGCCCAAATGGCTAATCTTGCCATGTTGAAAGCAAACTCCATAACAAGTTTCTTCGATGCCCATCTTCCTCTCAGACGTAATTGGAACTGCCAGGAGCAGACATTTCTCATTGTCAAGAAAAACCCTAAACCATTTTAAATGCCATTTTTTGAAGGTCTTTGAGAGGTTTGAAGACTGTCCATCTCAAATATATTTTTGTATATCTAGAAAACCTAACTTACCTAACTATAAATTCTAACTATTATAAGTAACTATCTATTGTCTGTATTTAATTATGCATTACATTTTAAAAGAACAGTATAAGTACAATACTTAGTCAAGAGGAGAAATATACTTATCACAAAATTGACTTTGAATTTGTATCAATAAATGAAAAACAATACCCATACCCTAGTTCCCTTTTTTACCATTAAAAAAGATTGGCTGTGATCATTAGCCAATTATAAACAATCCCATTTAAATGAAAACAAAGATTTATAAACAAGATGGGAATTGGGACGTCGCTCATTCCAAACTGCTTCCTGCTGGAAGGGGGCGCTGTTTATACCATGGGGACAATGACAAAACTCAGAAACCTGTATAAGTCCGTATTTTCGGGGTCTGTAAAGCTGTATCATCTTAGCTGTCTCAGTCGTTGGAACACCTGGTCCACTGCTTCCGGGGGTCTTGGTTCGTGAAACCACAGAAGACTGGAAGGAATTCTCAGCTTTTCATTTTCTGTGGAAACATAAACTAAAACTCCTTTTCCGAGTAACATATCCTTATACTTAAATTTTGAGGTCAAGGCATTTTCAAAAGATATAAGTTGTATTAATTTAGCAGCATTTATAAGCAAGTGTACTTTAGTAGCAGTTCCTTCCTGAGCAAGCAAAAAACTGAAAAACACAATACCGGACAGTATCCAGACTCTCTGTATTTTTTCCATCTTTGCACGGCTTATTTATTTATCTATTATTACTTTATTTATTTTACTTTTATTTATTTTTCTCTGAGACAGGGTTTCTCTTTGGAAATCTGCCTGCCTCTGCCTCTGGAGTAAATCCTACCGGCGTGCGCCACCACAACGCCGGCTTTTTTATTTATTTACCACTTTGTCGCTTCATTTTCTCTCTCAATCTCACATATATTTTAAACACACTGTAAACCTTTAGAGGTTTTTCTTTATCCAAGTCTGACTTTACTGTAAATCTTTATGTTTTTCTGGCCACGTGTCTTATCTGTAAAACCGTGGCTGTTTTAAACTGCCGTTTCATGATGGCGGGCGTAAGCGTGATTTCAGCTTACCGCCTCAGTCCATGCTGTCATCCAGCAAAAGCTGCCACTTCCAGCTGTACGTACACCCCTTTTAATCGTTAGCAGAGTCTCTTAAAATAACCTTGTTGGTTTTTTTTTTTCTTTTTATGCCGAGTCAGGAAGACTCCAGTAAACGAGCCGCGTGAATCTCGGCTTGTTGCTAGCAAAACACCTGAGAAAAATGCTGCTACCAAAAATCTGTGCTTCTCTCCGTTCTTCTGTTTCTAAAATTCCTTTAAAACTTTTGTCATTCTACGTGGAAATTCAATCCCACTCCTGATCACCATTATGTTAAGAGAAGCTTTTTTCTTTTGAGAAACCATTCCGCCCGCCTGGTTCTAGATCCGCATCAGTCCCAAATAAACACACAGGAGGCTATATTAATGATGAAGCTGTTGGCCTTGCTTGTCCCTTACTGGCTAGCTCTGCCTTAAGTAATTACCCCATAATTGTTAATCTAAGTATGTTTCTTACCGGAGAATAGTTCCCGGCGTCCTACCCCCATGGCGTCACATGTTGACTCTCTTGTGTTTCCCCTTCCCAGAATCCTCCTCGACTCCTAGTCCCTCCTATCTAGGTTTTCTATTGGCCAGACAGTACTTTATTGACAAATGCACAGGCAAATAACAGCACTTAAGCAGCCTGTGTGCTAGGTAAATATGCCTGCAACATGGACACAGCTGCTTCTCAGAGCTAGGGCCACAAATGCAATGGCATGAGGCTAGCCTCATGCATTTATGGCCTTAGCTCTGAGAAGCTGCTGTGTCCAGAGCCAATCACCAGAACAGAGCAGTGGTGACTGACATGGTCATTTAATGTTTGTCTTGGGGTCAGAGTCACCAGACACAGAGAGGAAACAGGAAGTGAAAGACAGAAGAGAGGTAATGTCACATGATAGAATGTAGATTAATATAAATGGGTTAATTTAAGTGATAGTTACAAACAAGCCTAAGCTAGGACTGAGCGTTCATAATTAATAAGACGTCTCCATGTTATTATTTGAGAGCTGGCAGATCAAGAAAAATCCATGTACAAAACAATATAGAAAGTGCCTGACCAAAAAAAAGTAGGGTTGTCCTATGCTATCCATGTACGTTCATATACACATAAACACTCACACACACACACACACACACAGCACTGTGCCAGGTAAGTAAACAAAATGGGAAAAATATTAAAAATATGTTTAGCACAGAAAAAAAGAATAACCACACATGTTGTGAGAGGATTGGACAGGGAGAACAGTAGAATGCCACAAAACAAGACAAGAGGTGCAGTAGGTAAGCAGGGGGAACATGCAGAAATACACACACACACACACACACACAAGGAGCATGGTGCCACAAAGATGCTCAAAATGGTGGAATATGCAGGAGACAACTCTCACTAAGATTAGGGATCCCATTGGCCAAGACAGGAGACCTGGCTTCTTGGAGGCAGAGATAGCATGAAAGGTTTGTGGTCTAAGGAAATCATGGATATCCCATGAGATTAAGTCAGTTGCCACCTCTATTAGCTTCCTGGCACTGCCTTAACAGTAGGTGATGACTGTGGATGTGCTGGCTTGGTTTGTTCCAGAGGTTCTGGAGAAAGACTGCCCCCTGTCATCCCTGGCTTATAGAGCCTGTGGTAATCCTTGGTTGCCACATACAGATTCTTTACTGGGCAGGGAGGGGGCTTCTGAGAAAGCTCTGAGGAAGGCTTCTGTCTTGTAGATTACTAAGTCATATTCTGTTCTTCATATGGAGCTGGCACAATAATGGAATTTCCATACAGGGAATATCTTATGTTTACAGGACCTTAGGAGGTGTCAGTGCAGGCTTGCTGGCTAGGTCTTGTGTGATCCCTGAGGGTGGGGAGGACTACCTTTCTTACCACTTGAAAAGGAAAGGTCAGTAGCATAAGTGTCTGACCCAAGGGCAGCCTGTCCTTCTAGTAAGTGTCCATTTGGAGAAGGAGATTAGGCAAAGCCATTTACTAGTCCTCAGCCCCAGGGATCTCCTCACATATGCAGATTGCATACCAGGCACTGTGAGAAACTCAATGGTTTCCACTCCAAGAGAAAGCCTGTTAATCTGCTGGGAGATTCAATGAAGCTGCAGGCAAAAATGTGTGTATAGGTAAGTTCTTCCAGGGTTTTCTTTCTATGGCAGTTTTGATTCCAAGTGGTATATTTATTTAATAGTATGTTTGTCTAAC